GAGATCAATCAAGTAATCTTTTACTTTGTCATTCTCTATCGAACGAAGAACTTTTGACAGCAGCTGAATTGCATGGTATGGCATATATATGCGACATGCTAATTAGTCTCACCCTGTCATAACCACCCTTTGTTTCAAACAGCAGAACGTTTCTTTTTTTGGAATTTGCATAGGTCGTTTTTTTTGACATTTTTACTTTCGACGCTAGTCAGGAAAATTATGTTTACACAATAAAATTTTCGTATAAACTAAGTAATATATTCTAATGACTATTATTTGTTATCAAATATTGATATTCAATGTTTTTGATTAGTAAAACACATCTTAATTTATTCCTTTTTCATATGAAATCCAAAAAAAAAAAGAACTTTCATTTTCTCTTTTTGTTCTCATTTGATACAATGACTAATGAATAGTTTAACGTTGTGATAATTGACCAGGAGGTGAAAAGAAACCACCGGATGCTTTACTTGCAGCACGTGATGGAGCAACTAAATAACAAATAATCGATATGAAATATCAAATAAGAAAAAAATACAAAATACTTACGACCAAATAGTTTTTGAACATTCTAAAATAAAGAAATTTTTGTTTTTACAGAAAATCTTTTATTTGTTTTTGTTTTGTTTTACCTGTCGAATAGACATTGTGCATAAAACATATAGAAAAATGAATGAACAATCTGTAAAATCATCACCAGATAAACTTCGATGAGATAATCCACGTATCAATGGAATTGGTTCAAATGGAAGTTTAGCAACAACACGACCATCAAAACTATTTTGAAAGAAACATAATCAAAATAGAAAATTTATTTTTAGAAAAAATTCTAATATACATTGAATTAAACATGCCAAGTAATGCCATAAATGTAAAACTTGATGCAAACATTGATTTCATTTTAACCTATAAAATTAAAACTTTCATTTAAAAATTTTTTTATAAAAAAAAATTTTTTTTTTTTTTTACCATTGATAAATCTCGATTATTAACTTTTAATTTTTCTTCTTGACGTTCTAAAATTAAAATAAATCAATATATACAAAAATTTATATGAATTTAAAATCTAATTAACCAAGTTTTCGTTTTTGAACTTTATCTGCTGCTTCACTAACATTTTCTTTTTGACGTTCAACTATTAATTAAAAGAAATTAATTACAAAAAATTAGCACGAAAGAAAAAAGAGATATTCAACTTACGTCGTTTACTTGCTTTTTCGACTTCACCTTTTAATCTTTGATATTTTTCTGTTCGATAGACAAGCAACCATGTGAGACCTAAATTATTCAAAAAAAAAGTGGAAAACAAAAAACAACATTTTTTATAATAATTAGAAAAAAAAACGTACCTTCACCAAGTAATGCAGTTGCAATTGAAATACAAATAATTAAAATCGTGTCACCAATCATATTTAGAAATACGTCGATGAAAAATAGACAAAAAACAAGAGAAGAGTACAACTTATACAACAATATATACGTGTACGTCTAATGCTTCGAAAGACATTGGACGAAGTAAATCTCCGTTCATTTTCTATTATATGACAGATAGCGCTAGAATTCAATCTATTCATACATATGAAAATCATTTTATATTAAAAAAAAGTACACAAATCATATGTATATTTTATATACTTAATACAGAAATATACAATAACAATAAAAAAACTATCAAACGTTGATAAGAGTTTACTTCGTTTATTCTATCATTTTGTAATGTTTGTCAATGATTCAATACGTTGATGATCGTTTTCATGTCAAACTTTCAAAATCTAGTCAATAGTAAATTAAAAGAGGTGTTGAATTTTTAATACGATTAATATTTCTAGTATGGATAAAATATAAAATTGTAACCCCATGTGATTTGAACCGGACAAATACCACCGATATAATGTGCACTATGTCAGCGTTGTTTTTTTGAAAGTGTTGTATCATAATATATTGTAGCAAAACAAGTGAATATTTTTAAAGTCTGTTAACCAAATTGGCATCAGTTATGAGATAAGCCTTTATTATAGGCGGCGCTATAAAAATTTTGTATTAATAATATATATTCTGAATCTGTTCTTTTCTAGGGTTAATTTAAATTCTTTCTCATGAACAATTCGAATTTGGTTAGAAAACACTCTCTGCAATTGTTTAGAGTCGGAACGGAAGGTTGTAATTGCTATCGCTGGTTCTTATAAGTACCACGGTATACCGGTGGTGGTGTGAACAAACTAGAGGTATGAGGTTTAAGAATCAAAACATGAAGTTTATTTCGTAATATTTCGACGTTTATAGCACAAACATCATCTTCAGACGTGCATTGAAACAGCAAATCTACAATAAAAAGCTTGTCTTTTTTAAATAGATTTCATTTCCCGCCACGACATAAATATATATACCAGATTTTCGAATATTTTAAACATTCAAGATCAGTTTTTAAAGATTCTTCTGATCTAGTTTCTTATTAGAACGTTTTCTATCATCATTTTTCTCTTTTCTATTCCACAATTTCCTGAAATTAAGAAAATTCTTGAAAAGGTCATCAAACGATTTCAGCCGTCACCGCCGATCAAAGTATTGGCTTATACCTCTAATGATAATACACGATCAGGATCAATTCTATGTTTTTACTTTTGACATATTTATTTCGATCAAAGTTTAGAAAATTATTTGAGCTATTCTAACCGAATATTTATGTCATATCACGTTCGCAAACTATTATTTTGTTTGTATTGATAAAAAATTGTTTTAATTTCAATTTAAATCAAGAAACTATTTTTCAAGAAGAATTCAAGCTCATAAGATTTAGCTTTTGTATCCAACTTGAGTAGAGACGTGTAGAATAGGGTATGAGTTAGAAAATTTCTCTCAGTAAGAATACAGAGTACGAAAAAAGTTTACTCTCCATATCTCTAAGCTCAAGGAAGAAGGTATTGTTTTATTTTAAAGCAAAACTATCCAGTATATCTATAACAGACAGACTAAGTGATCAGTTTGAAAGTCTGAAATGTGACTAGATGTATCTTTTGATAATACTTTAATATCTATTGGTTTAGTTTCTTTTAATGGTAATCTAGAAGCGTTTTCTATGATTATTAAACTTAAGGGTACCCCCTCCTCTTTTTTGACACGTGCTGGTTCTCGAAGATGGTACAACCAATCAAGCTGAAATTTTTAGCACAGATAGAGCACTAAACATAAAGAGATACGTGTTCGAGGAAAAACAATTTAAAACAAGTTTTTATGGGGTTTTAAGGAAAACTCTGGTCTTCCAGAGGTTCGCATCCTGATACATTACAACCCCTCTTAAAGTTTTTCCGATCGAACTGAGAATTTGTTTATAGACACCTAGCACTATTCCTCAGAGGTAAATCTAAGGATTTCCAAAAATCTCGCTTTCTTTTTTTTGTTATAAGAGAAATACGCCAAGATTTGAGTTTGTGCTCCGGGTCTTGGCTTTCACGACCCTATAACTCCGAGTAGAAACGTTAAAAATGAAAACGCTTGATTTTACCTCTGGAGAATACTTCGAAGTATTAGTGGTAAAATTTTCAGTTCGATTGGACAAACTATGAAGGGGGTCGTAAGCAACCAAGATTTAGAAAATCGCTGTTTTACAAAACGCTAAGTAAAAGAAAAAAATTTACATATTATTACTATGAAAAAAGAATTTTCTCGATCTAATAACTACGTAAAAGTAAAATATTTAGAGTCGAATAATGTCTCTATAGTTGTATGTGGCACTTCAGGCTATCATGTCTTAGGCTCAGCTCGAAATCGAGTTTTTGGTCACCAAACCGGAGGGGGGGGGGGGAAGGGGATACCCTTAAAAGAAAGTTACAATTTAGTACATGTTAACATACACTTTACATTATGATAGACAATGACGGCATTGAATCTGGAATAAATGACAGCATCTAGTTGATGTATTGCAAAACAATATAATAAGAAAATTTTCCGATACAGACTGCATGCAATCTTAAGTATAATGATATCAATGATCAAAGAGCTCAATCGGTATATTGCTAATGAATTTCAACATAATATGGTAAGATAGGTAGGCTGTCTGCTTATCTGTTTCATAGTTATCTTGAATATTGAACATAGATACTTAGCATATTCAATATTGTTTCGAACAATATTGATTCTCTAGATATCCGGTTTTGATTAATACCTTACAAAACAATAGAGTAATATGTGAAGTTCACCTTTTTGCTAATACTATATTCATCTTACATTTTCAATATAGAAATTTAAAAAAGTAGATATCACTTTTTCTCGAACACTATATCTAGTTCATATAGATTTCTCTCGTTTTAATGCAGATACTTGTAATTTTAAAGCTTTACAGTATACCAAAGTCAGCATTATAGGAGTGCAACACTATTCTAATGTAATAAAATAATCTAATGAGACAGATCATCTATTGATCTGATTCATATTGATCGTTTTCGTTGAACGTAGAAACTCATAGAGATCAGTCATTGAGATAATGATATCAGGAATGCAAGAGCACAAGATCAGATTGAATGATTACAATAAACTACAGTCATTATGTGATGATAGTTCAGGTTATGTAAATTTATATGTTAGTCTTAGCATCGTTTTACCATTTTAAAATAAAGTGTTTATACCAAATATATAACTAACCCGAGTAAGAATTAGTTGTATTTGTATAGCACAGTTCTGATGAACATCTCATTTCTACTTCTTAGTCTATTTCTATTTCAATATAATTATTGAATGATTCGATTCAAGTTTTTGATCGATCTCATATATGCAGATTTTAGAATATTGGATATTATGTTAACAAAAACAGATGCCGGATAACTATAGAGAGAAAAATAGATCTTTATCAATACTAAATGTGATCTATTGCCGTTGGAAATCAAGTGAATGATATGTTATTATGTATCCGAAATAACGTTGACAAAGGTTTCTTTGAATTAAAGCGAATCCACATTATCCGAATAATAATAATAATAATAAATACATATTTGCACATCACATTCACATGTCTATTATAAGTTAAATCTTGAATAGATTGACAATTATAATCTTCCTGTACAGAACTATTCTATTTCGATTTTACTCATATATTAAATATATAATAACAAGAGTTTATAACGAACTAAATTTTATCCATAAGAATTTATTTATCAAAAATCTATTGCTTTCCACTTGAAACTAATAGATTTTGATTGATTACGAATTTCTTTTTTTTATTTTAATGATAATAGGTCGTTCTTCCGACAGAACAGTTTATGTTTAAGATAACTACTTTCAATTAAATTGCTTCATTCATTATTGTAATACAAAACTATTTGATAAAAATATTATTATGCAATTGGTTATTCTTTCTAACATTTCCATAAAGTTTTCAGTATTAGTATATTGATATTTAAGAGTTTATCGATATACATCTCTAAAATTTCTAGTCTTATTGGATAGATACAAATATGAAAAACTTGATAGAAGAATTATTATGAAACCAACCTTTAGTAAATCACCAGGGAATAACCTTAAAAGTAGATGACATTTAATAATGATCGTAAAAAAAACTTCTATTTGTCATATATTGATAAAAAAAACAAAAAAAGATGTTGAAATTAAAAAGAGAATCTTTAATGAAGAGTACTCGGTGATCAAAATGTTAATAGTTTCAGATATAATGTATTTTTCTTTTCTTTGAAAAAAAACAAATCTAAAAGTATTCCTCAGTATTATTTTTTATCGTTTCAATTAAAATTATGTTAATTCATAGTCAAATATTTTCGATCAAACAATCAATTTTTTTATATTGATTAAATAAATATGTATAAAAATAATAGAAAAAAAGAAAGCAAATGGATCCTATAAAATATGAAATATCATGCCCATCGGCACTGATAGAACCGATTGTTATTATAACGACAACATAATGTATGAATATGTCAAGACATTTACAAATTGTGTTGTTCAATTTTTTGCTAAATTTTATATCTTAGAAATATTCTAATTTAGATACAAAATATAAAATACAATGAACAACATATTATTAAGAAAAAAAATATATATTATACAAATTTCCTATATTGATATTCGACTAGTTGTATACAATGTAGAGATTTATATAGATGGCGGATTCATGTATCAAGTAGATCAGTTTAACGAAAAGAAACAACTAAATAAATATTAAAAAAAAAATACAGTTTATTTTGATAGAATTTTGTCATTTGATAACTCGACCATTTTGATTGATGTGTTTGTGCATCATGTGAAATCTTTTCAATAAACAGTAATATATACATTAATCAATCTGAATATCAAAACAATTCTTTAGAAAACATCGATGTACTACATTAGAAGATAAAATAAATTTATCGACATGTTAAATTAATATTTCTGAATATATTTTTCATAAAAAAAAGAATTCAATTGAA